CCATCGATGCGTCATCATGCATGAAGTTGATGCATACAAGGACAGATTTTCAGTGACACCACGATTTGACACTACTTTGAGAAATAACAGTTAATTTAAGTCTTGAAACGCGCAGATAGATGAATCATGGCGTTAAATATGTCACTATCAACAGAATGTGCCGTAGCATTACTATCTTTTAGATACCCTAGTATTAAACTGACAGTCGTGTATTCTCGCTACACATTGTATCTTCATTGGAAATAACATTTCAAAACTGCGTAGCGAGAATACATGACTGTCAGTTTAATATAATGTAGCCATAGTTAGGTAATTATTGCATAACATGATTGATTGATGTGTCAATTGCTCACCTACTCCTCTCATAGCCTTTCTTAGCAATTCACAGTCAGCCTCTGCATCAAATGGAGAGATTGGAACAATGGTACCATGACCGTATTTCTGCAAACAAGATCAGATTATACTGCACCTTAATTATGGGTAAGCATTTCATCATAAGAGGCTTAATAACCAGCATTACTTTTTAATCAAGTGTACAGAATGACTACCGATAGTAAGTTGTAGAAGAAGAATAACTTTCAGTTGTTACTGAGGTTAAATTTTTTCAAGTGAGCTGCTACTTAAAAATACAATCATATAAATAATATATAATTTGGGACTGCCTACAGTGCGTACCACTCAAAAGTCAGTTACCACCTTCTTGCAAGACCAGACATATCTCATCTCACGAGAGCTTTTATTAAAAAGGGTACGTTAGAACAACTGCTTGTACTTCTCTCAAGATTTTAGTAGCCCATTGTAAATAAAGTAAACATGCAGCAAGAATATCTGAGCATTAACGCTGGTAAACTTCACTCTGATCAGTGAAGTTTCGCTTGCAAGTGCTTGTTGATTCTGTTGTTTACTGAGTTCATTAGGGATTTAAGCTCAAGAAAATCAGTCGCACACAGTACTTTGATTCTTTTTTCTATAATTATGAGAGGAAACATATATATACAAATACCTCTTTCAAAGACATTGAAGCCATCTGAGTAGTTGGAGCACCTCCCTGATAAAGAACAAACCAAAAATGTCACTGAATTAAGTGTTCGTAGTAAATTAAGAAACTGTGTGTACCATTTAGTACTTTTACTAATTAAATTACTAAATTGAAAGCTGTTCTTATTTTGTACCTATAGCAAGTTTGGTCAAGTCACAGTCCATTTTTTGACAAGTTTTGCCCGACTGAAATGACAGCTTAATGGTTATTGTTCTAAGGTAATCAAAACATCTTGTAACATCAGATCAGTGATCAGAGGCCATGCGATCAGAAAATTTAGGATTGGATTAGCATGGGTTTTATCGTAGTAATCAACCATCCAGTCACTCATTAAGTACAATTTTTTTGAAAGGTTGCCTTTGCTGTCTTCCTTTTATAACATGGCTACCACCAGGAAATTGTCAGTACCAAAAGCAAAGCAATTTTTTAAGCAAGACGTATGTTTAGGATAACATGGAAGTAAGTAGCTAGCTAATAGTAGCGTCTGTCTGTCTGTTTGTTTGTTTGTTTTTTATTTATTTATTTGACATGGCAACAAAAATGCCAAAATGGTCACAGCTTGGAACACTGTCATCAGACAAAAAAAGTCAATTTCTGAACACGCCAGCAGTGACAAAAATTTCATCATCAAGTAGTCTCTGATCTGTTTGCCCTGCATGCATTTTATTCACACTTACACCAGTTGTAGGAGGAGGAGGTTTTGCTGGCTTTTGTTGAGGAGCAGAGGGTTGTGTCACAGGTGGGGGTGCACTGTGCGTCACAGGAGGGGGGGCACTTTGCGTCACTGGAGCTGTGTAGTATAAACAATGTTATGTGTATATGCAAACAAACGATTTCAGCAAAGGCACATAACATTATCACAAGCAATCCTCATGAATGAATTCCAATTGATTTTGTTTTTAAAAATGTTCTCTTCATTCAAGGTTGGAAATATTGATTAACCTTTAGTTAATAAATTTAACCTACAACTGTTATGCACATGTATACCAGACTCTACCCTTATTACGTGTACTGTAGAAACATCAAAAGTCCCTGTAAAAATAATATAAAAATACTGCACAATGTACATTTGCCAAGCTCTTTAGAGGCCTAACTACCACTGAAAACCCATTTTGGAAGAGATGGTACAGTGTATAATTTATTGGGAGAAGGGGTTACTTTCAGATGTTTAAAGAATTTTGCTTCCTTTCAAGGGGGATACTGCTTTGTAATTCTCCCTTAGTCTGTCTGAGTCTACTGAAATGTCAGCCAGTTATGCATAAATTCTGTTTGCTTGTTCCCTCCTTAAGTAAACGACTCATGATTACTTTGTTCTCTGTTTCTAACGAGACACAAAAGTACAGATTTCTGCATGCAAGTTCTTATAGTCTTCCTTATTTAATAAATATACTGTAAGCATTAAATAATTATTTAATATTAAATTCAAGAAGGTACCTTGAGAAGCATAGCTCTGTTGAGGAGGCTGCTGTGAGCCATATCCAGTGTGTGCTCCGTATCCAGCTGCCGGAGGTTGTGCCCCATATCCACCAGTTGGTGGTGCTCCTCCATATCCACCGGAGGGAGGTGGTGCCCCATATCCACCAGAGGGGGGTGGTGCCCCATATCCACCAGAGGGGGGTGGTGCCCCGTATCCACCAGAGGGGGGTGGTGCTCCATATCCAGGTTGGCCATAAGGCTGAGCACCATATCCTCCAGGAGGAGGTGGGACACTGTATGGATCACCATAGCCAGGTTGTGGACCTCCCGGAAAAAAAAAAAAAACCAAATGAGAGTGATTTGCTTTTCAAGTAGGTTTTGTCCTACTATTAAGGGAGTGGAAGTGTAATTGAAAAAGCTGATTTACTTGTTGGGAATAAAGACGCAATAAAGGCACATGTAAAAATAACTACAGTACTGTAAAAAGCAAATTTGGAAAGCTTAGCACATTTTTAGCATTCCCTAGGCTGTGTTCAGTCAAAAGGCACCAATGAAGAAGGTGCATATACATGAACTTCACCTCTCCAAAGTTTGATAATCAACACATTATTTCTAAAAGAACAACAACCAGGGGCATCTCCTAACAGACTGGAAAAAGTTCATGTGATTGTACTCAAAATAATGTATACTGGTAACTTCCATCTCACAAAAGGAATTCAAAAGCAAATAAATTAATATTGAAGTTTTGTCTGTCCTCCTTGTGTGCATATTTCTATATATCAGGCAGATTTGTCTTGAGCAAAGCTTTCAAGTAGCTGGCTTCGTAGTTGAGCAGGTGGCAGCAGAGTACCGGCTGCGATCATGAAGAAGATGGTAATTCTTGCTGGCAGATAGCCGCAGTTGATAATCCTTTACAGTGTGTATTCATCTTTACTCTTGTCTTTCATTACAAGAGATTCTCTTATTAAGTACTACAATAAATAATAATTATTACAGATGTCACTAATGCCAAACCACAGCAAATTTTCAGAAGAATTCAGTTAAAGCTACAATTGCGTAGATTTGTTAATTTATACCTGCAGCCAGACTGTTCCCTTTTTTTGGCCACTGTGTAAGTGTCAGTAAAAATAATTGATATTGCATGAACTTACCTGGTGGTGGTGGATACCCTCCCCCCGTAGGAGGGGGATAACCACCGGGAGGTGGGTAACCAGGTGCTGGAGGATATCCACCAGGTGCTGGGGGGTATCCACCAGGAGCCGGTGGGTAACCAGAAGCAGGAGGGTACCCTCCAGATGGAGGATATCCTGGTGCTGGAGGATAACCCTAACAAAAAATTTAAAAAAAAAAACAAGTAAAGTCAGGTTTTATAACAATAAATATACAGTTACAATTAAATATCAAATTATTTATCAATGATGAAACAATAATATCATTATCCCTGGCTTAAATATATGATCAGCAACTTAAGATTTTAACTACATTGTACAATTGGACCACGGGTATTTTCAACTTCCAACAATTTTGAACTAAAACTGTTTTCCCTATGATTTGCCCCCATTTATTCTCGCAGTCCAAACTTTCAAAAATTAGAAGAGCCGGTAAGTACAGGCATAAAGTTTTTGAGGCATATATCTCAAAAAGGTACTAATGATAAAAGATTGTTTTCATGTAAACTACATGTGTTGTATGAATCTTAAGTTAGAGAGGTTATTTGTATGGCTGGGGGTAATTTTTTGAAAAAAATCAAAATCTTAGCAATATATCATATTTTAATATTCAGTGGATCACTTGGTAATATGTATTTCTAATGTAACCATAAGAAAATGAAGCTGATGCTAGATCAGGTTTACAACTAATTGAAAATAATACCCACAATAAATAAAAGTATTATTAAATTAATATTATACATTTTGACTGCTATAAAATAATTAAAGAATGACAGCTGATTATTACCCCTCCAGGATATCCAGGTCCACCACCATAGGGAGGATATGACATTATAAATTTTCTTCAAGTGGAACCTGTGAGAATAAGGCAAAAACGTAATCAACATCGCTAGGTCTTCTTGACACCTTTCTCTAAAAAACCGTGTATGGTTTGTTTTTGACATAATAATAATAATAATAATAATAATAATAATAATAGTAATGCCATTTCGGGCAGTATATCCACAGGGTGGCTCTTCACCTGCCCGATGCTAACTAAATTTACAATTGTAAAAAGGTTAAGAGATATCTAAAAATTTATATCCACATGAAGTTATAACCTTTGAGTTTTGATAAAACATGCATTCTCTTCACTAAAGTAGTCATAGCTTTTGAAAGAAGCAAAAAATAAAAATTCTCCGACAAAGTTTTTTTTGCCTGACTATTGGGCAACATTCTCTTCAAATTTCAGCAAAAAATGTTGAAAACTCGCCAGAAACGAACTCAAAATGTGCACTTCACTTGCTGAAATTTTTGTTTTGAGATATGAAGGAAAAAAATACTTTGGCACGTTCTTCCAGAGTAATGAGATAATAATTACATAAAACATGTGAAATAATAATGCATTGATCAACCAAGTGAAGGCTCATTTTACATCAACAATAGAGCTCGTATCAATTCTGATCAATTACAAAGGAGTCTCAAATGTTGCCTCTGGCGGGAAATATCCTTTGCAAGATCTGAATTCGCCTGCTCGTGTGCCCAGGTTAGTACGAAAATAATTTTTGCTTCTATTTCTTCCTTTCAATTTTTATAACACCTTAGCTTTGACATAGACAACAAAAGAGCCTACTCGTAAACAATGTGAAGGAAACCCACGAGATACTGTTACTGTTTGTACCACTTTGAGCGGTGAAAGTGCCAAGGAAGTACATTTGTAATGCTTACAAAATTTTAAGCATCTTCCTCATCCAGTGTAAGTAACTTCTCTTGCTCAAAGCAGGAACCTTTGTTGCTAGCAGTTAACCTATTGGCCCAAATCTGATTGAGTGTTTTTTAAACCTTTTCCCCCCAATTTTTCCTCTGTGGTGCTTTCTTTGTACTTGCAAATGGACGCAAACTTTTGCATTTCTTTGAAGACCTATTTAAGCTTACCTCAACAAACTACAAACGGAAAACATCCAGACCAGCTCGTTGACTATACCAAACACAAACGTTTTGTAATAGTTCATCTGTGACAATCTGTCATGCAACTTTTAATGCCAGTTTACTTCTCGTGAAAACCCACTGACAGTTATCAATTAGGGATAATTATGCAAAGAAATGTTTTCGCTTGTAACTTTGCATAGAATCAATCTTTTTTCATGGAATTTTTTAAATGAAAGATCGCAATAAGATCTATCTGAAAGAGCAAAAAACATTTTTTTGGAAAAATGATCAATTTTGTTGTTGTTGTATGGAAGTTCTATTATAAGTCCCTTTTTCTCTAGTCTGTCAAGTATGATGCAAAAGAATGTTCAAAAGGAAAAATGGCCAGTCAATGGAAAGAGGGCACAAAAGAGAGGGATTAACTACAAAGCCAGGGAATGACCTTTTGTGGTTAAGTGATCGCGTCTCGCGAATTTCTTACTGCATTACAATCCAGTTACTGTTAACCACTGTCAAACATGCAGCAGCAAGTGGCATCGAGAAAAATTCCAGTACATTGACTTGTTATGTCAATACAAAGACAAGAGATGTGTTCCTTAAAGCAAATGGTCTAAGAAAATTATCAATATTGACCCAGCAAAGGAGCTAGTGTGTTACATTCTTGCTGTGTGCAGTATGTAAATGTGGATTTTAAAGGCCAGGACATGACAGGGTATGTAATCTTATGTGAGTCTTCAACCAGCTGCAATGGTTGCACAATTGCCATCATTAAATACAGTTTGTAAAGTATATATTCAGCAAACCAAGATCAGAGATGTTTGTTGACCTTCTGGAGGTTATCAATCAACATCAGATACAAGTAATTTTCAGGACAAGGTAGTACACCTTTTTTTGCCTTAAACAGGGTTTTTATCCACAGCTAGGGATGTAAACACTTCACTCATCTCTTCTCAGTCCTACAAATGATCAACATTTGAAACCCAGACTGCAGCATTCCTAAACCCAAATATCGGTCCACTAGCCACACACCCAGAGATCTACATCCACCCACCTCTGTCAGAGGGGGGTGAATCTGCCAATTTGAAAAAAAATCTTGACATGTGAAAAAAGGGGCCAGTGTGTTAAATTCTTTTAAAAAAATTGCTCAGCACCATTACCGAGTGTTAACTTAAAATGGTGTCTTGTCACAGGAAGTGTACTGTGAACTGACATGTATGTAGTTACAACTACAGCCATCCACGTAAGGATCTTGAGCTGAAAAGGGACTTGAAAAGGGACAGGCACAACTGTGTCAGGTGACATTAAAACGTCGCATGTAAACCTTGTCAAGGGCTTCAAAAACCGAAAATTATCAGAGATTGGAATGCACTTATTTATCACTAGATCCTTTCAAATTTAAAGAAGTTGCTTACGTGTATAAACGGCGGAAGTAAAAAATCGGAGGATCTTAAGTGGATAGAAAAAGCTCATTAATGGAGCAAGTACTATTTGATCTACGGTCAACAAGTATGATTTCAGTGCCCTGCAATATCCTTATAAATTTAAAACATTGCAAATTAAAGTTCAAGTGAAACAGATGCAAATTGCAGTACATCTGAATCAGTAGCACAAACAGTAAACTAATAAAAACTGGTATGAAAACCATACGATATAGAACACATAAATCACAAACCAGACAGCTGTGCGTGATCACAGCTACTCACCAGGAAATAAACAGCTAGCCGAATCTCAGAACCCTTCAGCTTTGCTGCAAGAAAGCAAGACAAGCCTTGGAACCCTGACAGGGACTGGAACCAAGGGGAGAGGCAAAGACAAATATGGAGTGACTACCCATATTTGGTAAATTACGTACATGTGCCTCATCGATGTCAAGATTTGTTGACCGCCATAGTGTCTTTCGGACGTTGAACTTCAAAGGTAATAGGCGATAAAGGGAGATTCTCGTGCTTTTATACTCATTTTTATCACTTTTACGTAGGAAATTGAATAAGGGAGTTATCTTACTGACTCTTAGAACTTCAACGATAACTATGGTGGACGACAAAGCAACAGCAAAAGACTTAGAATCATGGATCGAGCAGCTTATGGAATGCAAACAGCTCAGCGAAACTCAAGTGAAAACGCTCTGCGAAAAGGTAAACCGGTTTTTTCTTGTTTTGTTAGCCATTGCGGAATAAAATCTTCGTCACTGCGAATAGAAAAGTAACATGGTGGATGTCGGAGAAATACAAGCTCACAGTCACTAGCTTACAGTTGTGAGTTAGCTTACTATATATGTAGGCATGGATGAGCGAAAATTGTGGTCGGTGCATCTCGTCGCAAAATTAAATTAGGCTTAGTCTTAGCTGTATCTAGGCTTCAAGTTCGATAGAGGTGTAGAAAGTTTCGCCTTTTATCTCCAATATGTTCATTCTACACTGAAAATCTAGCTTTCAAGCAATATATATTGTGCATGCATGCTTAAGTCGATATTTGCCGAAAACTGTCGCAATTGATTATTTAGCTAACGAAAAGTCTCTTTACTGCAAATCATACATAAACTAACTCTATTTCTATTCTTTCTTTAAATAAAGGAATACGGAGTAGTCCAATTAAATGTCCTTTAAATTTATGCAACAGTCTTCAAATCCAATTAGATCCATTCAAGTGATTTGCTAAAAATGTTAATGAAGTTGTAGATTTTACCCTGTTTTTACTCAATGTGTGGATGCAAGGTACATGTATCTTTTAACCTGGTATCTACATTGCTAATTGCTGGTCCTGGATGAGCTTGTTTTCGTTTTTAAATTAAATGAAACCCAATCTCTAGGATTTCACAGAAATGATCCTTTCTAACACCAGGGTTTGTATGGGTCCTGGAAAACCTGGAAAGTCCTGGAATTTAACTGTGGCATTTTCCAGGACTGGAAAGTCCTGGAAAAAGGCTGCTGGTCCTGGAAAGTTCTGGAAATCTGTTAAACTCAAGTAAAAAAATATGAAATGTATGGCAGACAGTAAGGAGAATTAACATTGTGATCTTGGGAGTGAAAGGGTTAGTGTGAATTTTAGTGTCCTGGAAAAATCAATCTGAGTCCTGAAAAGTCCTGGACATTTGTTTCTGAAAAAGAATGTGAACCCTGAGTACCATGTCATTACTGTGCCAAGAATTCCAGAAGTAAAAATTTATTAGCAATCACTACACTGCTGTTTATTCATTGTAGATGATGACTACAATGTGAGTGTAATGGCTTTTTGTTCCGAATGCACTGGGATATAATGTCACATCAAATTTAATTATGTTAGCTACATGTTCTATTGTACATTACCATGGCAATCTACCTGTGTAAACTCATTCAGAAGAAACATCCACTTTGAATTCAATTGACTGTTTTGTCATTATCATTTGTAGGCCAAAGAAATTCTCAGCAAGGAATCAAACGTACAAGATGTGAAGTGTCCTGTGACAGTTTGTGGAGATGTGCATGGCCAGTTTCATGATCTTATGGAACTGTTTAAAATAGGAGGAAGGTCACCAGATACCAATTACTTATTCATGGGTGACTATGTGGATAGAGGATATTATTCTGTAGAGACTGTTACTCTCTTGGTTACACTGAAGGTCAGTACATATGCACAAGAATTATTTTTTAACAACTGCATCGCAAAATGGAGGCTGGGTGCCTGTGATATCCAGGAGCTTCCACTATTGGCAGCCAGCTCCTAGATGGAGACTGCTCCCATGGCTGGCAAATCCTGGCAAGCCAGCCATGAGCCCCCACGCC